TACTTTTAAGACTATTTGTGATGAAGAAAAATCAATAGATGTGCAACATGTAACAGACTGGATAAAAAAGCTAAATGAAATTTGTGAAGGATTTGAGGCTAAAAACATCTACCGTGCAGATGAAACTGGATTATTTTAGGGAATTTTCCCGAATAAAACAATGCTTCAAAGGAGAAAAGTGCTGTGGTGGTAAAGCTCCAAGGTGGTAAGCTGTATTACTTTGTTGTAACATGGAAAGAGAGTTTGAGCAACCACTTGTAACTGGAGAAACCAAAAAGCCAAGATGGTTCAAACACATTAAGTCACAATCTTTATGGGTTCATTGACATCACAATAAAAAATCACGGATGACGAAAAGCGCAGTGCTGAAATGGTTGACTGCTCTTAATGAAACAACGCATAAAAATACAGTAAGATTCTGCTATTTCTTGACAATTCGCTAGCCCACCCACCAATTGTAAAACTGAAATTAGTGAAAACTAGTGTTTTTACCACATGATGCAGCATCACTATTACAGCCTTTGGACCAACGTATGATTAAAAGCTTCAAAGTTCATTACAGAAAACTGTTTTTATGGCATGTTCTTTATCAAGCTGCCTGCGGAAACAGCGATCAGCATATAAAATGTGTCGATGTATTGAATGTCATTCTGTGGATACCAAAAGCCGTTAAATCCGTATCACAAAGTTGTGTTCAGCACTATTTTAAGAAAGCAGGCTTTGAAATTATTATTTCGAGTGCCCTCAGTGAATCCACTAGAGTGTGATGAAAATGAACTGTCTGAACTTGTTAAAATCAGAGCTCTAATGCATGAGTATTTAGAAATTGATGAATATTTTTGCACTGAAGATACCAATGACGACATAAAATCTTTTATTTCGACTGTACTTGATGATGTGAGCCTTAATAAAAATAGCTTGGAAAACAGTGAGGAAGACGAAGAAAAAAAGGGCGAAAAGTGTAACATAAAAAAAAAACTATAGAGATGCCTTAAAGTACGCCTTCCAATTAAAACAATTCATGATTACTGAAGGTGAGAGTGAAGGATTTAAGATAATCAGTGACTTAAATATCCGCATGGAAAAAAAGTGCTTGAAATTCACAAACTTTCAAATAAACCCGTGAAACGGATTATTTTCAATAAATTTAAGCAAGTACCAAAGTCTGTTGTTCATTTGATACGTTTTTGCATTAATTAAACTTTTTTTTAATTAAGAATTTTCATTTTTCATTAATTTCAAATTCAAATAAATACCTGTGGCTATGTTACTTATTTCTATATCATTTATTTAAAGCTTGATACAACCTGAATTTCTAATTAAATTACATATATTTAGTATGTATCCTCTGAAGAAGGGATACCTCTATTTAGGAGACATAAATATCTACTCTGGTAGGTGTCCGTTACTGGGAGGTCCTGTAAAGTCATTGGGTTATTTTGATGCTAGAGACTTGAAAAACGGGCCTCGCCGGGACTCGAACCTGGACCTCTGGAATGCGAGTCGTGTGTCTACCTTTACACCACGAAGGCATGCAGAAAGGAGGGAGAAAATACCTTATACACTCCTTATACACTTGTATATAGAACTAACTAACTAACCTTATACAATCCTCTTTTTAAAGGGTTACTGGGGATTACGGCACCCAGTCGCCAAATCCTGGTGGTGAAGAATCATTATCTACCACCTTTTAGTTCGGGCGCCACTGTTATTTTTAAACAGGAGTACATGAAAAATGAGGAATACCCTCGCCGGGACTCGAACCTGGAACTCTCGAATGTGCGTCGGGTGTGCTACCGTTACACTACGAAGACATATAGAAAAGAGGAAGAAAATACATTATAGTACTATTGAAATTTATAGTGGAAATATTAAACTTCTACACAAGAAAATGTCGATGCTAAAATTATGAAAATACAGCACACTATTGTGCAACTCATATTCTGCTCTAATTTAGCAATGCACTAATTTATATTTATAACTATATTGTTAAATATATATGTTATTTTTGTATCGTAACCTATTTGTTATGATAATACAAACATGATGTTAACATCAAGTTAACTGTCGAACTTCAAGCAAATGCTAAGAGTGGAAGAATTTAACCATAATTTTTATACCATCTCATTAGATTTTCACAGCTATACTGTAACTTGAAAAATGATTTCTGTAGATTATTTTCATGAAGTATCTGTTGCAAAACAATATTTTTTACTCTCCGTAATCATTCTATTCTTCGTTTCACCAAGATAAACCCATTTCATTGAATAGACAATGTAATAAGTTTTAAGAACATCATTCCTCAAAATGTTTTGAGATCTTTAAAAAGGCCCTGACATTAATTTCAAAATCGATCGCTATGAATCAGTATTCTTTGCCAAAAGTTCACGCTGCCTGAAATGTAATGACTTGTGAATGTCAACTTTAGAAATAAAATTTGAGCAAGTGCCAACAGAATTTTCTTTTTAATGTTCCAAAGCATCTTTTCGAGAGAAGAAATTGAATAAATTTGAAATCGAAACAAAGAGACTTTTAATCAGAAAAACAAAGACGATATTTCATGAAAAAAGTAGATATTGGTTAATTATTTGTTTTCTTTTAAAAGCTATTTTAGGAATTTTATATTTGCAGCTACAGAATTTGGTTTTCTATGTAGTTTACGCCATCCGTCGCTGAAATTGCCTCAAATTTTATGAATAAAGAACGAAAAATTATTCTAATTTATATAATAAATTTAAACTTAGTATAATAATTGTATATCGAATTATTACTCCGTATAACGCCCATCTATAATTTCAAACTATATTTTTTAGCGTTTAGGTATATTCGCCGTAAAACTTGAGAGATACATGTGCGATGCTCTTACCATTTGAAGTCATTAATTCGAAGACTTTTCTCAGGCTTTCGAACAATGGTATACTGAAATGACAAGCGATAAGGGGAACAATATGTCGGGGGGATGCTTGAGAGAGTAAGTAATTCTTCAAAAAGGGTGCGCTGTGTTCAACGCAGGTGGGACAAGACTGTTATTCTAGGGTTTCAAGATAAGGTGGACATTTTGTTTCAGGTAAGAATGCACTTCTGATACAAATGAATTCGCGGAATTAGGAGTTAGATGTTTTCTGTTCACTTGAAGCAGTGATTTTGAAGCGAAAATCGAGAGCAAGGAAGTAACAGGGAAGGGAAAGGAGACCAAATGCGCCAATGCCAATCTAGAAATACTGTGTGACTGGATAAATAAAAGCATTGAAGGGAACTAAACCTGATATAATTCAAAAGTCATTGAAAATGTAGTATATCAAACAATCTAATTAAAACGGAAGGTGATTATTATAAATCAGAATCTATTTTAGCTCAGGAACTCCTTGATGTTCGTAATTAATTTTGAGCTTCCTACATTCTATGACTACAGCAAAACAGATAAGTCGCTAAGAAAGATTATAAAAGAGCGTTTTACATTTTATATGTTTTTATTTTTAATGCTTAAATATTAGGCATTTAATTGCTGTAATTCATACATAAATTACTAAAACCTGTTTAGACTAATATTTTAAAAATAATTGGATGAGCATTGCAACATAATTCGTTAATGCGATAATTTTTTTTAATGATTGCAAAAAACGTTTCTGTTTCCTTTTTTTTTTTTTTTTTTTTTTTTTTCATATGGCGCTTTTCTACTGCTGTATAAAACATAATTAAAATATTAGAAAAATAAAACGGGTGTATAAATTATTCTAAAAATCGAAAATTATTATCGAATTGATATTAAACGAGAGGAAACGTAAGAAAACATGAGAGTTCGGAAGATATTGTAGAGTCATTAGGTTATTTTGAAGCAGGAGCCTTGAAAAATGAGCAATGCCCGTGCCTAGTCTCGAACCTGGAACTCTCAAATACGCGTCGAGTGTGCTACCATTACACCACGAAGACATGCTGGAAGGCGGGAGAAAGTACCCTCTTTTAAAGGCCGTTCAGACTGGGGTTTATCTGAGCTAACGGAGACATCTGACATCTCCAAAACCAGTTTTTCCCCATAATGTGATAGTTTCCCTAAGTGAAAAATCTGAACTGCACTTATAGCGGAACTAGTCGACACATGGGACTTCGTTAAATCAGATAAACACCGGTTTGGACGACCCTTTAAAAGGCGACTGGGGATTAGGGGACCAAATCGCCAAATCATGGTGAGGAGGAATTATTGACCACCACCTTTTTCTTAGTTCGGGCGCCACTGTAGAGTCATTAAGTTTTTTTTTTTTTTTTTTTGATGCTGGAGACGCGAAAAATGAGCAACTCCCTTCGCCGGGACTCGAACCTGGACTTTTCAAATACGCGCCGAGTGTTCTACCATTACATCACGAAGGCATGCTGGAAGAGGGAGAAGGCTTTTAAAGGGCGATTTGGGATTAGGGAACTCTGTCGCCAAATCCTGGTGGTGACAAATTATTTTCCATCACATTTTAGTTCGGCTGCCACTGTAGAGTCATTGGATTATTTTGAAGTAGGAGACGTGGATAATGTGCAGTACCCTCACCGGAACTCGAACCTGGTTAAAAGGCGCCGAAGGCAAGCTGGGAGGCGGGGAAAAATACTGTATAATACAATTACACATACTAAATACTTACTTCTTACTTTTAAAATAACAGATGAATTCAGCAGTGTTACAATAAGATATTTGATACACACTGGCAAAATGATTAGTTAGTAAGATATCTTTGACTGCATAGGATTTATTTTTCCTCTCCCTCTATTATTATCTTATAAAGTATTGAGATTGAAATTTTCTTAAAAAGATGAACGAAAAAGTTTTGTAACTTTAATTTGTAACCTGTATTAACCTTTCTACATGAATTTGTAACCTGTATTAACCTTTCTACATGAATTTGTAACCTGTATTAACCTTTCTTTATGAATTTGTAACCTGTATTAACCTTTCTACATGAATTTGTAACCTTTCTATAAGTCCCATTTACTCAAGGACATGGTGGCTTTATAATTACCATAGTAAGAGCCATGATCAGAAAAGCGTAGTCGATGTGTGTCATGCTGCGTGCCTCTTCAAGTGTTGCAGCAGGCTGAGTTTCATTCTGCTCTTCCGGGAAAAGGGGCTCTGTATTGTTGGATATAAAAGGGCTGCAGTCTTCGTTCAACAAGAAAGGTTGCGCGATCATGGGACTTAAAAATGCTCCCACACCATAGAAGAAATGGATTGCCTGAAACAGAAAAATTCCACATATTTGTTACTGATTACAGTTAAATTAATAATTCAAATAATTTGGAAAGTACGCACATTGCTCTTTAAAATATTACTTGTAATCCTCATCTGATTTCAAAAACTAGTATCTTTCTAGCATTCATCGAGCTGAGTTCCGCTTTTCCTATATATATATATATTTTTTTAAATGTGTGTTTTTATCACAGAATATGCATTTTAATTAGAATGCTGATAGACCTGTTTTAGTCCCGGTGTTTCAAAAACATGAAAAAATTTTAACCTACTGGCAGAACACTTCCGGATAATAATTTTTTATTTTATTATTTTGCTTCCGCTTCCCCCCCCCTTCTTTAGTTTTTGTTGTAAAATGTATGAGGAATTAGCTACCTATTTTTAACTAATAGATAATTTTAACTTTTAGTAGTACTTTTCTGTCACTCTCTTTTCACCCACACTTTTCATGCCAGAATGTAAATGAGAGTGCGAGCTTTTATTTATATTGAGGGACAAAAAAGTGCTATTTAAGTGTTTAAAGTTTCACAAATTAATTTTAGAGTGTGTTTTAGAGTCCTACTTGAGGCCACGTTATACAGTGATTTATTAGCGATTTGATTCTGTGGCGTTGATTGCTTCTAGCCATTAAGCTTGTCTCGCCGATTTTCTACAAACCAGAGCCTTTTTTGCACGTTACTTTATCCTGTGAGCCGTTAGGCCAATCTATTACATTTGATTTAGTTCAACATTACGTATTTATGTTAAGCCAGAAGCGTTGGCTTGTGTTTCCCCAAGCGGGGTCATTGTTACTTCTTTTGTGTTCAAATAAAAGAGTCTTATGCACCCTTCTTCCGACTTTGTTTCACAAGACTAGAAGATAATTCTTGTATAGTCTTTTTTAAACTGATATTGTATGCTTCCTAAGAATATCAGACTTTACAAATGTCTAGTTAAAAACGGAAAGTAAAGCGTGTAGAAGGCGTTTGTTCGTTAGCACAGGGTTGTTCCATACGCATAAATGTGCCACAGCTTCAACATTTAAAGCGATACATAGGACATGATTGCTGAACAAGCCGATGTGCTTTTCCGAATTTGCAGTGGAAAGTATCGTATTTTTCTGCAGGAAGTCTTACTAGAGTTGCTAAGAGCTATTGCAGAGTCCATTTAAAGTGTGTGAGTTCCAGCACAATGGAGATCCAGCCCATTTTTGACAAGACGCAAGAAGCTAACTACTTGAATGTCCTCTTTCCGAGACGTTGACTTGGGCGGAATGGCTCCATACTACGTTCTCAAAACGCTCGATCTTTCGTGTTTCGGTGGGTTTTTTTTTTTTTTTTTTTTTTTTTTTTTTTTTTGTGGAGGCATCTCAAGAACCTTGGCTGTGAAACATCCCTTAAATCTGATTAATATCTCATTACCAAAAACAATGTTTCTACGATGTGTATGACGTATTTAAGAAAGTTCACCAATCCCTTGAAGTTCTTTTAAATTTGAATAACCAGTTATTTTATTTTCTGAATCTGCACTGCGACTTCTCTCTTTTCGTTTTTCAACCAGAATGCAAATTAGTTCGAATGTATTTATAGTGGGGTTTGAGATTATTAAGACAGAGCTTATTCTGCCACTAGTGGCCACGTTGCTAGGTTTGTTACTTTAGGTAGAATTCCTGTCTTTGGCCTTGTATTATAACTGCCGGTAGCTGAAATTCACGCCAGTGAGGTTCTGAACCAACTTCGCGTTAAATTCCTCTGTGTAGCCTTTGGCTATTAATTTATTTAAAATTAAGCTTGGCGTAGTGATTTTGAGATTTCCTCACAAATGCTGGCGGAATTGCAAGCTTCAGAAGTACCTTCGGTTCATTTTATTTAGTTTTAAATAAATGCTCTTTTACACCTTTCCCAAGCTTCTGCTGTATTTAGCAATAGGTTGTTTATCATCTACATAGAGTTTAACACTGGATGTTACCAAGGAGAGTTAAATTTTAACTCTTTTTTGCCGTTATGTGTTTTCGAAGATCTGATTGTGTGCGCATCATCTTCTTGACTTTAGCGTCATGCTTTACCATGCCAAAGGTTCTTCATTTACTTTAATTATAAATAACAGTATATATGTAAGATAAATATATGTGAAGGAATCCGTCAGTTGAAAATGTAATTATTAACTTATTTTTTATACTTTTATTTTCGTGCTCTTTATTTTTTTTTATTTTTTTAACTCAACACAAAACTTTTAAAATTGGTGTGAGTAATAAAAAACTTTTGGTTATAGCTCTAAGCACGAACATGTAGTAAGTTTTAAAATTACAAACGAAGGTTTTTTAAGTAATAAAATAAACTAAACTTTATTCTTTCCCAAAGTCTCTGAACCTTTTAGAGGCAACAAATGATGACTCAAGATAAAAAGATCTTTTATAATTTTATAATAATTATGGGGTAAAGGAACACATTTTTTCCAGCTGAATGGCATTAGTAGCCAAGGGCTACCAAATGATTTAAGAGGACTCATACACTTTAAAACCCATAAGATCTTCGAATATGTGACGGTTGCAATAATTGGGATAACTTATTTATTTTAAAAGCAATTACTTCCAACTTTTTACAGCTGACTGGATAATATAGCTGCTTTCTGAAGTAGTAATTAGAAAGTTTGTGTTGTCACAAATATTTTTATAATTTAATCCGCTTTGTGACAAAATATTTCGTCATGTTTCCACCTTGCGCGCACAGTTTAAAACATTCTGTTGCATACTTTAATTCCACATTTAATATGTAGCTTTGATAACATTTGGAAACTACTGTGAACCAAAAATGCTAAGAATTTCATGTTAAATATTTATTTTATTTGGAGTTGAGTTTATAAAATGCATTTTATTAAAAAAAATCTGTAATGTTTTCGTGCATAAAATTTTTTAATATTAAAATATTAATCAGATTTTTGGTTGAGTTGGAAAATAGTGCCCATATAAAGGATTCCATCGAATTTCAAGTACGTACCGTTAGCCATTTTTAAAATATCATATGCGGAAGGAGGAAACATGACGAAACATTTTGTCACAAAGCGGATTAAATTACAAAAATATTTGTGGCAACACAAACTTTCTGGTTACTAGTTTACAAAGCAGCTATGTTATGTAGGCAGCTGTAGAAAGTTGGAAGTAATTGCTTTTAAAATAAGTAAAATATCCCAATTCTTGCAATAGTCACATATTCGAAGATCATAAGGGGTTTAGGGTGTATGAGTCCCCTTAACGCGAAATTGACTCAAGCTTCTGAGTTAGCAGAAATATTGTAACGTGGCCTCAAGAGGCAGAAGCATGCTCTGTCTTACAATCTAAAAACCTCTTCGTAAATACTCTCGAACTGAATTTGCATTCTGGTAGAAAAACGGAAAGGAGAAGTAACAGTAAAGATCTAATTCACAAAAACTGCCCAAATTAACTTAAAGGAAACTTATAAATATTATAATGTAGTGATGAAAACAGTTGCTAGAGATGATGAATTGATAACACACATCTAAAGTTTATCAATCTGAAAACCAGAAATAGATCATCAGCAGCAATAATTTGAAACAAATATTAAGAACTCTAAAATGGAAAATTACTGACCTGTAAGAAAGGGGAGACGTCTTTCCCATAGATGCAAATCATCGACACGTTGGCTACTGTGTCGATTGTACCCATAAAAAAGCCCATTACAGCTAGCACAATGGCGAGAGCCCAAAGAGCATCGCACAGAGGAATCGACGCCATGGATACGGTCATCATGGTTGTGCCTACTAAAAGCATCATGTCAGCTGAAAACCTATATAAATGAGATAAACTTTAAGTATTGATAAAAAAAGTAATCTAGACATGCTTAGTGATATTTACTATAATTTATCTACAGTTGCAATTAACTTTCGATTAATATACAACTCAAATTCTTTCAAAATCCCAGTCAATTGTATTGATACAGCCAAGTAGATTAGAAAATTAAGTTGTTTATAATTTTATTCAGAAGCTATTTCTCACTTTCTTTCCTTTCTTTTTTTAGCCCAAAGGGGCAATTTGCTCAGAACGGCTATTAATTTCGTTTTAGCATTTTGCGTCGGTTCACTAGATAACGGTTCACTTTTCAATATGTTGCACCAAATATTAGAGCCCTGCATTATATTTAAATAAATTAAATAATGAAGAATCTACATGAATGTATGTATGTTTCTCACACTGTAAAAATACAACGGTACCTAGAGACATCTAATTTTGAATAACGTAGTCCTCCAATCGAATATGGGCATCTGGAAGCCCACATTTGGAATTTGTTTTATTACCTGTTTCATATTTTGTCAAACATTAATAAAATTTTTTAATTAACAAACTCAACGATTTTAAAGCGAGCAATGGCAACACTGTAATATATCATTTTGTTCAAGAAGAAAAGCTGTTAAACGATTTTATTATTTGATACACCTCAAAGCTCTTATTTCAATCAAAACTTTAAAAACTCAAATATTTGGCGCTTTTTTTTTTTTTTTTTTTCCCCCCTTCCAAAGATAAACGTTTTGCATTTAAAACTGGCCTTAGAAATATTTCCCTCAATTCACCATCTGTGAAGACGAAAACCACGTACTTGTATCCTAATCCAAGGTGAAAATATTTCTTGTATTCCTTAGTCTCTCATCTGAAATTAACAAAATTATCTTTAACGTTGCCCAAAGAATAAAAGCATGCTTTCAAATCAGCAGTTTTTCTATTGCACTAAGAAATGGATCTAAAGTGCATTTCAATTTTCCTGACTTTTAGAGCTTTCCCTTTGTGTGATGCTATTACAGTCACTTTGTGAAGGTGGCATGACCCCTGCGTGACAAATTTGTTGTCCATCACCTGTCATTTTCACTGCATTCTAAGATTTTGGAAAACCCAAAACAACAGGTGTGTTTGGGGGCTAATAATGCCAAATTTAACCTCTACAGTTGTATAACGTTTTTTGACGCCAGACGAGTCTTTCTCGCGGGAAAGGATGCATTGCTGAAATTAAAATTTTAGCTAAACAGAGACGAATGAGAAACTCTAGTATTGTAAACAAGGAATAAAACAAAACTAATATACTTGTATTCAGTCCTAGAACAGAGTCAATAAACTTCCCATACACTCATGAACATAATACTGAATCCTAAACAACTTGTGAATTAATCACAAGCAAATTATTGCATCATAAACTAGTATTACAATGTATAGAAATTCTGTCATCTCACAGAGTAGAGGAGAAGCCTGATGCTGCCATCTATTGGCAAGGTACCCTCAGTAGGGGCGCCAGTATATATTATATACCGGTATTAAAAACGTATACATAATATTGTTTTAATTATCAGTTTTGATTGAAATGCAGTAAATATAAAAAGGTTCAGCACGTGTGCGTCATATATTTGAATATTGTGAATTTTTTCCTACCCTCCAATGGAATTTATGAATATTCAAACATGATACCTTTGAAAGAGGTATATGGCAACACTGTACGGGGGGGGGGGAATTATCTCCAGCAAGCGAGTCTGTTAATCGGAAATTCTAAAGATATACTGTGTTGATATTTGTATATTGTTGATGAATTTTGGTTAGTCGAAAATGAATTATAAATTGAACAGCAAACATAAAACCCCTTTGGCGTAAAACTATGAAACTTTCAGATTTTTTCTCCTAACTTTACAGTTAAAATAACGACTAAAAAATATATATTGTTGCGTGCGTACGGGTTCGTTATGAAATGAATGCACAAGTCCGATGAAAAAAAATGAACAAAAATTTATTATTATCACAACAAAAAATGCTTAAATTTTCTCAAATTATCATGCAGTATTACAATATCTCACAGTAGTTATCTTTTAACTACTCAAATGTCCAATAGAACGTAATTCAAAACAGCTAAAGAACGCTAATCCGCGAATTCGCTACAATCAACAACAGGCAGTTTTCTTAAACAACAACAAACTAAGCAACTACTACAAACTGAGATGTTTTCCTCCTTTTATAAGATTTTAAAATCACGCGCTAGAATTTTCCAGTACTTTCTCGAAATCAAAAAGAGATATTTATTTATTTAACGCACGCGCTCTTGTATTTTTAATTTTTCCGGCTTAGCTTTCTTTTAATATTCGTCACGCGCTGCACTGCGCGAGAAATAAAACCATTTAATTTATAATTGAACTAACATTAGCTTTTTAAATACCAAATTCGTAACACTGCCCCCTTCCCAAGGACTGCACGTCCCGGGCAGTACAATCCCTGGACAGGAAGCTAAACTTACAACTGTGGCATAAATGCAACTGAGGCATAAACATTACATTACAATATCAAACAATATAAACAATAAATGCAATAACTAACTTAAACAAATCAAATGCTATCAAATACTAATACAAACAAATACAAATACAAATACTAAATACAAATCAAATACTAAATGCAAATCAAATACTAAATACAAATCAAATCAAATACACATTTATAAACAAAAAGGACCATGGTCTGATACTATTTACAATTATTTACATTACGTACTATGGCCATAGTAATGAGCTAACCTGTCGTAATGAACGACTTTAGGTTTAGAGTTCGAAGACTTACGAATCCGAACCACGACGTCATTCAGCCTTTTTAGGACTGTATATGGACCATCCGAAGGTGACTGTAATTTAGGACTCAGTCCTTTTCGTTGAATTGGGTTCCACAACCACACCTTGTCTCCTTTGTTGGATCTATGTCTAGTAGCTCTTGTGTCGCATCTGGTCTTCATTTTCTCCGTCGCCAAGTTGACTCGCTTTCGTGCAGAACGGTGCATCCCCTTCAAACCGGGCCTGGGCATCTTGGATGTGTTCCTCAGGCGATGAAGGCGCATCCGTAGGGCGACTAAACAGGCGGTCACAAGGCAGACGAAGGTCTCGACCGAAGAGCTTCTGAGATGGAGAATAGCTGGTAGTCTTGGTGTTTCTTTTCGACCCTAGTATGATTTCGGCAGCTTCCCGAGCTCGATCTTTCGGACAAGGCGTCGGCATTTCCAGGCGAGGATCCCTTTTGAGGATGGATAGTCATGCCATCAGATGCTGAAAGCAGCTTTGTTGTTTTTGAAATCTAAGGAAAAATTGTATTTCCTTAAAAAGTCCAATCCGAGTATGCATGGATCTGTAATATCCGCCACATATGCCGTGTGATGATGGTAGGCGGCACTTCCAAACGTGATGTTTACGTTTAACTTCCCAGTTATGTCGATCTTGTCACCAGACGCAGTCTGAAGGGTAACACAGGATGGCGTCCAAATAAGTTTATCTTTAAACTGTTCAGCTAAATCTTTCCTAATGATGGTAACATTAGCTCCTGTGTCAATGATCATATTGCAAGGAACTCCATCGATATTCCCATTGATGGACAGTCCGTTATTGTTGCCACTCACTATAGAGATCTTAAGCGCTTTAAAACAGGGTTTTTCATTATCTGGCAACCTCCGTTCCTTGATATGGTCATTAATTTTTGTTTCCTGCGTCGTTGCTCAGAAATTGTCTCAATTTTCGTACCCTGGGGTGTTCTGCAATTCTTTCGTACGTGGCCTTCAGCTCCACAGTTCCAGCACTTTGGTTTCTTGTCAGTCCTTTTCCTTCCCGTGGCATTTAATTGTCTGTTTAAATCGTATGCTTTATTTTCCGTGCTCTGGGGAGTTCTGCAGTTCCTTCGTAGGTGGCCTTCAACACCGCAATTCCAGCACTTTAGGGTCGGTTTCGTTTCACCACTATTCCGTCTTAAAGCATTCACTGGTCTTGTCAACTCATCCGTTTTATTATCCGTGCCCTGGGGTGTTCTGCAATGCCGTCGTAGGTGACCTTCAGAACCACATCTCCAACATCTTACAGCCACTTTGTTCTCACTGCTACTCCGTATCAAAGCATCGACTTGTCTGGATAAATCATCTAAACGAGCCATCAATTGGTCCCCTGGGTCGTGGACTCGCACAGCTCTGACTGGGTAGCGATCTCTAAGAGTTGCTTGCTGGGCTGCCTCGAATTTCATGGCGTACAACAGAGCGCTTTTTATGTCCTTTACATCTGCCATTCGCAGAGCTTTCTGTATTTCAGGATCCCGGATGCCATCGATGAAATATTGCAGGGACAGGATTTCCCTTGTTTCTGTCGGGCACTCCGAAAAGGCGTGATGTGACAGCCTTTCAACATCCGTGGCGAGCTCCTGAAGTGTTTCGGTGGGCTTCTGTTGACGGGATTTTAATTGGAGCCTGCTGTAGTCTTTTAAACATTTCTCGCCAAAGCGCAGCTCCAAAGCGCCGGATAGAGCTTCGAAATCTAGCCTTTGATTTTCGGGAAGCGTCTGCAGGATATCCGCTGCGTCTGCTCTCAGAGAAGCGGCGAGACGAGATGACAGGCCTTAGCTTGGGAATCCCATCCATTCGCATCCGCAACGATAGAAAATTGTGTCTTATACACCTGCCAGGAGGTCTTCCCATCATATGTAGATAGTTTCAGAACGGAACGAGCAGGCATCGATAAAAAATTTAAAATCATTCAATTGTTGCTCCCTACCGTCGCTATGCACTTCTTTAGGCGTTTCCATTTCTTTGGCGACTGCAGAAACTCTCTCATCAATTTGTTGTTCGACTTGGTGTTGGACGGCACAAACTCTTCCTTCAATTCGTTCCTCCACAGCCGAAACTCTCCCTTCTATATGTTCTTTTACAGAAGAAACTTTTTTTCTATTTCTTCTTTCACCGAAGAAACTCTTTCTTCAATTTGATCTTTTACGAAAGAAAACTTTTTCTTCAA